TCAAAATACAAAGTTCTTACTGTGTTTTAAGTTTTTTTTTAATCAGCCTTCAAAGACAAATCAATGTGTTCCCGGCGCACCAATAAGCTTAATGGGATATTGGAAGATCTATTTACAAAAGTAGAGAATTTCTTCAGCGTACTATGCAATTTCTTTAAGCATATTACGGCATCCGAGACTATTCGTACAATGTAGCGCACTAACTGTGTGGTTCAATTATTTAAATCACTGCGAGAAACATAATTATTTTATTATATTTGTAACATTTATTATTTATAATGATGCAAGCTATCGATCAAGCAATAGATAATGAATTTAGATATTACTGCATTTGTTCAAAATGATTTTACTTGTTTTTTATTACCCATCACTATTTTATAATATTAATTTCCCCTTAGGGCAATGGGAATTATTCATACTGTTAATTCAAATGTACCATGTGACTAAAATTATTTACTGTTACATAGGTAACAATATATAAATAACACATGGGTTTGTGGGTAACAGTAAAAATATCATCCCGAGGAAAATACTGTTATAGTGTTATACTGTAACAGTATTTATACGAGGGATGATATTTTTACTGTTACCCACAAACCCATGTGTTATTTATTTTATTACCCCGAACAAATACTGTGATGATCTGAATTTGTCAACTAAATCTAACTGTAACAAAAATAAGCCAAGAGAAGCAATAACTAAACTGTTCTTACCTTGCAAGTTTTAAGTGCACTGTAGGCCTACTTGAGAACCTGTTTTTCTTTTATTCCTTTGGCAAGTGATGATATCTACCAGTCATAAACATAAAATAAGCTGTGTTTTATTCAGAAAACAAAACACTAACCCATTTATAAGGTTATGATCTGTGAAATCTGATCCTTCTGCATCCAGAATATTCTTCGCATGTTTTTTGACAAAGTGCATTTAGAAAATAACGATGATATCCTACAGATGTCTGGCCACCAACTCTATCTGTAACGTTTCACTGGTTAAAATTGTTAAATTATCCTTTCTTGCATGCTTTAATTGTCTGCATGTTACAGTTTGACAAAATTATTTACATTACAGTTACTTCCGTTGAAAACGGATGTTTCCTGTTGACTATTCAACAAAAAGATATTTTATACGCTAAAGGGACTCTAGGGTGCAAAGAACTAAATTTTATCAGAGTAATAGTTACTTCGGCGATGCCCTATCGTCGAAAATAAGAATGAATCGAGAAAAAAATGGCGGACATTTTATTTCATTTTATTTAGAAAATAGACCACGTGACCAGATTTTATACTGTTAAAAAATACTGTTACCTATGTAACAGTACAAAATTCGTAGTCACGTGGTACACTCCTATTACCAGTAAGAATAACTCCCAGAGGCCTATGGGAAATTAACATTACGAAAAAAGTGAGGGGTAATAATATATAAATAACACATGGGTTTGCGGGTACCAGTAAAAATATCATCCCGAGGAAAATACTGTTACCCGAGGCGTAGCCGTTTTACGAGGGATGATATTTTTACTGTTACTCACCAACCCATGTGTTATTTATTTTATTACCCCGAACAAAAATACTGTGATGATCTGAAATTGTCAACTGAATCTAACTGTAACAAAAATAAACCAAGAGTAACAATAACTAAACTGTACTTACCTTTTAAGTTTTAAGTGTACTTTAGGCCTACTTGAGAAGTTTTCTTTTTCTTTTAAGCAAGTGATGATATCTACAAATCATAAACATATTATAAGCTAGGTTTTATTTAGAAAACAAAACACTAACCCATTTAAGCGGCTATGATCTCATCATCTGTGAAATCTGATCCTTCTGTTTCCAGAATATTCTTAGCATTGTTTTTGACAAAATAACGATGATATCCTTTGTCTGTCCACCATATCTGTAACGTTTCACATATATAATCTTTTGTTGCATGCTTAAATCGTCTGCATGTTCCAGTTTGACACATAATTATTTACATTGCAATTACTTCCGTACTTCACTTTTTGACTATTCAACAAAAAGATATTTTATATGCGAAAAGCACACCAGGGTGCGAACAACTAAATTTTATGAGTGTCATAGTTACTCCAGAGAAGAAATTGATGTCCTATCTGGGTTTAACGTCGAAAATAAGAATGAATCGAGAAAAAAATGGCGGCTATTTAATTTCATTTTATTTAGGAAATAGACCACGTGACCAGATTTATACTGTTAAAAAATACTGTTACCTATGTAATATTACAAAATTCTTAGTCACGTGGTACACTTGCATTAACAGTAAAAATAACTCCCAGAGGCCTATGGGAAATTAGCATTACGAAAAAAATGAGGGGTAATAATACTTTTTCACAGTCACAAAAATCTGAAAAATAAAAACATATAGAAACAGTGTCCCATTGAAGTATTTGTTCGTGGTAATAATATAAGTAACAAAATTTTAGTAACAGCAAACATACCATCCGTCGTAAACATACTATTTACCTCGGCTAACCCGTCGGGTAACAGTAATTTCCTTAGAATGATATTTTTTCTGTTACTCACCTATGTGTTTTGTGTGTGTGTGTGTTTTTTTATAAAATATTAATTTAGTGTTCCTCCGTGAAGCATGTTTGTTTTCACTGATCACTTGCCGAACCGTCCTAATTTGTGCAAACTTTTATATGAATTCTTTAAGAAAAAGCTGTGGTACGGATGAGGAAAGTCTTACCTACAATCATTTGATTAGTTGTTAAACAGGGCTATCATAAAAAATAACCATCCCGCACTCACTATCTCCTAAACTAATTAATATTTACGTGATTTTATTTTCTCTAGTGCCTTTGTAAAAGCGTGAAAGTCATTTCACTGACTTGGCTATTAGTCAAAACACTGCAAGGTAAGATAAATAATAAATTACTAAGTGCATTACAAAAACACTAAAATGCATTGTTTTGCAATAAGGATTGTTTTGCTTTAAGCATCATTTTGTTTTCCATTTTGTTTGCATGCAGACTTCCCTCATGAAAACATTATATGAGCCGTGTCACGACAAAACCAACATAGCATCCGCGCAGTCTGATCAGGATCCATGCTGTTCGCTTTCAGTTTCTCTACTTGTTATAAAGTTTGTAAGCGAACAGCATGGATCCTGATCAGACTGCGCAGATGCGCAGGCTGGTCTGGATCCATGCTGGTCGCAAACCCATTATGTTGGTTTTGTCGTGACGCGGCTCATATTATGTAAACAGCAACTCTTTTAAGATTTTGAAAATGGATGTTATATTTGATCATGTATCTCACAATCGCCATATCTATGTCCATATCCATATATAATTATTATGTGATTTCTTCTCTGATACTTAAAACTATAAACGTACTTATTTGTTGTATAACAAGCAATCCATTATAAACCAACTCATTGAAACACTTGACAGACTTCAAATGTGCATCATACTTTTATGGTTTTTTTTTGTTTCTTTTTAGATGCATTTCAATGTCCTTGCCTTAGATGCTGCCCAGTAATTCTAGTTATTGATTTGATATCAGTTGCCGCAGGCCCCGCCTTTGTTCGAACGCTGTTAATAAAGTTTCTATATTAAAGACACAATATACCTCAGACATATATTGTTTTTTCCTTCTGTGTGTTTAAACTCTAAAACTTAAGAATGTATAAGATGATTATCGCGCTAATTATGAAAACGTTTATAGTTTGTCATATAGGAAAAAACAAGACTGGTTCAAGTTTTAGGTTAATACGTACTTTTTGTCGCGTAAAATTGACATAAGTTATATCAAGTAGATTACTATCCTCATTGTAAGGCGTTTACAAACTATTTGACAGTGTATCTACCTTAAAGCATAAAGTGACGTACAAATGTTGAATTTTTTCGTTGTCAATTACAGGGGTATGAGATACATGTATAATTATGTTTCACGTAAAGATTGACTATTTTAATGTGATAACATTAAAAGTGCCTAAAATATAAAAAATACTGTCTCACTCTTTTTATCAAGGCAGCGTTACCGATACATTCTGAAAGATATTTTATAGAAATTTCCGTATGACTTGTGCATTTCTAGTATTGAATATTTTTAAAAAAGTAGAATATGAAATTGGAAACAAATATGGCAAAATATAATAAAAGGCTTTCAACAAATACACTTAAATGGGCATAATGCCACTTTAAATAGGTATGTAAATGTACAATGTTTAAAATAAATCTGAAGTGCGCTTCGCGAAAAGACCCAGTAAGGTACATTAACATAAAGATTTCATGGCGCCGTAATAGAAATAAGCAATTTAAATAAAGGAATTAAGACTTTAACAGAAATAATGGCCATGTTTGCATTAACGACGATGAAGCAAAAGGAGTTCAATCTTCAAATTCTTTATATCCAATTGTATTATGTATATTATGTATTTATGCTTTAGAAGGCATAAAAATTCAATACTCTTATGCATTTTGTTTTATGTATTTCACCATTATGCTGTTATGTGTTAAATTAATGTACAGTTTCCATTCGACCTGTCATGTGTCCGTATACTATGGGATATCATGTAAGCGATACTTACGCTATTACATTGTACTTTCTTTTACTTAGGCCACTATTCCATTGGTACGCGATTAAATATGTTATAATACGTCTTGGTTTGAATGAATTATTCTTTATTTGTCATGAGCGCTGCGATTTTATCAGTGTGACCCCGACCTTTGCTTAACAAGACTTATATTTGTAGGCATTTTATTTTCATTATTTCGCGGATCTCAATTTTCAACACGTAAAGTGCTGGAATCAATGATCTCGAAGGACCAGAAAAATATTATAACACTGAAGTGTAACCCCTATCCATTATTACACACACTTGCATTAGAGTGTATTTGGGCAAAATTATTTCAGTTGCTGAGAAATATTTACTCTCTACAACATATTTATATCTTGTCATCAATGTACGGTATTGCAAGTGGCAGTACATTATATTATTTGTCATGTCTCGTAGAAATAACGCTCCGGCGAAACTCGCTTCCAACGCATACTGAATCGCAAAATTGTTTTCTAAAGTCGATACAAACATCCGCTCAAAACGTTCAGCGACGAGGCATCATTTTTCCCCGGGATTATGTATTCAGTATACTAGCTCCAATGGGACGATGCCTAGCAGTGCTATTAGCAAAGACGGCAGACATTTTTCCAATGGATTGATTTATCGGCCAAGTAGCGTGTAAACATTGCTCATCTTTCTGTTTTTGCAGAAAATCACGGATTATATGGCATATCTGTCCAAAAGGATTTTTATAGAAGATATCTGGATATAGGTGTCTATACAGTGAACTGTTTCATCTAAATTGATTAAGTGTTACACGGAAAAAAGCTACATATCTCTTGTGTGAAACATGTGCTCTCTGTTTTAAGTATTGGCTGGTTTAAGTGGTTTTGCGTTTAAAAGGAAATTGATATGTTTCCGATAGGTCACGTGACACAAGAGTTTTATCGTACTTAACTACAGATTGAATGTTCAGAGATAAGAAAAACACTATTCATTATTCATTATCGTGTTGAAAAAAATATGTGATATATTTTCTGATTTTTTTTTAAATATCTGAATGAAATGTGATAAATGACGTATAACAAATACGGATAACAAATACCGTATTAGAACACAGCGGGTGCCTTTGTACAAGGTCGATATTATAGACCGACTGATTAATCGCAAAGAGAAAAGAACTTCGATTGAGGCTTTCATTAAACAATTTGCTCAAAAGATATGATGTTGACTGACTTGGATGCGGTTTATCAAAGGAATTATTGATCACTAACGAGAAGAAAAGAAAGAGTCCAATATTGTATGACAAAGTTAAGTGATAAAGCAATGTTCTCTGTACTTCAAATCAATTCAATCGTTTGGTGATATAGTTTAAGTTAGGCATTTATCGTGTCGGGGGATTTTGGACGTACAACGAACATGGAATTAAGTTAACTTCATTAATAAATAAATAATGAATAAGGAATCTTTGTGAGGTTACTTCTTTGACTTTTATTTGTTTTAAGGTCGAACTTTGCTTTTTTTACAAGATGGAACGACGAGAGAGTAAGTCACGTGCTGACAGACGAGAAATACGTTCCGTTTGCATGCCGGTGCCGACAATAGTTTTAAATAATTCCGACAAACCGGAACATATAGGATTATCTCATTCACGGTCGGCAGGAGACTTAGATACTACTGTAGCAGACGTTGAATATGAAATGGCGGGAAAAGCTGAAGGAATGACACATTTTTCAAGTTCGGTGTCAGACGATTTGCACGACAAAACTCAAATAAATGTGAATGCAATTGGCTTGTATTGCTCACCTAGAATGACACGTCGTTCAGCTAAAAGTCCCGAGGAGCCTCCTATGAAACAATCTGGAATATGTTTAGATTCACTTAATGCATGTAACCTGAACTGCCTTGACCCAGGAAGCCGTGTTGGAAGCACGGTGTCTTTAAACAGTGAATATACCGCCCGAAGTGTAGGTCTTATTTCAAATGATTCGAATTCCGAATACTCCTGTCACAATTACCCTGTCATGGATGGATCCATGCAGAAGCATAGTGTTTTGAAACGATTTTATTCCACACCGGAAAAAGATGAAGACATCATGAATTACACGTCATCAGTTCGACGGAATTCAAAATCGTTAGGTAATATGCAACAGGAGGATTTGGAAAACTTTGTTTCTTTTGATTTTGGAAGTGATTCTACAACAGACGACAATTTTCAGCAAAATCTAGAACCTAGCTGTGATATAGATGAATCGTTAGCCAGGAGAACAGGATATAATGAAGACGGTGCTAATTCAGATGGTCAAACTGATCGAAATCTGGTAACGCTTGTAACCGGAAGTGCAACGCTTCGTGACGGCCGGATACGGAAGTGGCTTACAGAAATAACGGAGCCAGACGAAAATTCAAATTCGTAATAATTGTGATTGTGGATTATTTTATTTTTTAAAGCAATAAATTCTGCAGAAATATGCATTCCTTAAACAATAATTATGTTTTCAGAACATCGTGACTTGTAAATCAAATGTAAAACTCCTATTTTTAATTGAAACGACTTTAACCAAAAAATTTGATACGTTTAATAAAATGTTGAATTTCAAGGTTGGTATTTATGATTTATAACTTATAAATTGGTAAAAAAATATCCAAATACCAATATATTGGCCGTGAGACGTTATGAGGGTAAAATACACTTTTCCAGTGAAAAAAAATAAGATATCTGTCACTGCTTGTTTTTTTTATCGTATAATATTGATTTATATAGAGGAAATTACATTTGATCATATCTATGTAAAATCAATAGGTTAATTCGTGTAATTTGATGTTTAGAAATTTTACCAAATGGTTTGATGAAGCAGCTGTTAATTTTACAACTACTAAGCGTCAATTCACTTAAATGTAAAAGTTCATTGAAAATTAGTTTTTTTAATATCTTTTAATTTTATACCGACAAAAAATGATCTAACTAATGTCCCTGGTATCTGTACTTTTAACTCATTATCCACAAGTGGCTATCAACTTATTTATTTAGTTTTCTCACAGTCCTACGTGGTAATCCCCATTTGCTCCACAAACCACTGCCACCACAAGTTAGTTTTTATTTTAAAAAATACGAAAAAAAAAATTAATTACAAAATTTGTGTTCTGAGTGCAATTTATGATCTTGGTTATGTAAATGAATGAATATTTTAAATGAAAGAAACAAAATGACAATGTAACGTAGATTATTTCGGTCCTGTTCATAACAGGTTTTCATTCTTAATAAAGTGAAAGTGGGATGCTTGCATTTTTTATTCAAAATTGTTTTGTCTGAAATTGTGTCCAGATTATAAACAAGATTGATTCCATCGTTCTCATTTAATAATTGCCAAAATAATGGTTGATTTTGTCACAAAAAGACATTTTTAATTGAAATACTTTTGTTTGGCGTTTAAGTAGCCTCCAATTTGGTGTCACGTGCCGTTTTTCGTGGTCACGTGACGATTGTTAAGGCAGTGATTTGAGCGGTGCTAATCAAATCCCTGTGAGGAGTTTGCAGTTGTTTGTGATAGGAATCTAATAAATTATTAATTTGAAATTTCTTAACACATTTAGATTCTGTCAACAGTAATATTTTGGCTGCGAACAAAATCGATTTTTTTGTAGAGAGTCTCTCCATGCATGATTTCACATACGAACGGGCACATGAGTAGAATGAAAACAACAACAACATTTTTTTGTCATTTTTATTCTAATCATAAACAAAATTGTGTAATTATCAATGTACAATAAACTTAAATGCCTGTCAAATTTGTCAAATTCATGTCAACAAAAAAAAATTAAAAGGTTAATATATTCATTGGCTAAATAAATGTACTTTAGATATATAATACAATAAAAATGTGTTTATTTCGAATTCAACGAACTTTGATTTACTTTAATTTTAAGAAACAGTGTCCCCTTACGTCCTTTGATTACCTTTTATTACCTAGCTGGATAGCTTCCTAACATATGAGAGTTCAAAATACAAAATGTACAACACAGGATCCGAATCCATGGCAAGAGAGGCGTAAGTGCTTCGAGAAAGCGACCTTAGCCAATCCACTTTTCTTTTTAGGTATAATGGGTGAGACTGTTAACTATTTTCTAAGATTGAGGCGTGTTTCTTATTTTCTTTTATAAAATATATCAAGAGCTGAAGTGTTACAACTTTTGTAAAAAAAACCCAGTCAATTTGAAACTTTACAAAAAAGTCACATCAATCGATTTGTATCTTTCTATCCTCTTCGTTATGGACGGAGCATAAGGTCAATACAAGGTCTCCGGTCGATATGCATGCATACCCCGAATTAAGAAATTGCTATGAAAAGTTTTGTTAATCTTTATTGATTACTTTTATGCTATATGTGTTTTGCTCCTTTTTCATTTATTGAAGGCAATCAAACGCCTAGTTTTCATAATTGTTTTGATCTGTTATGCCTTTGTTATTGATTTTATCTTCATTCTCTATTGTTTTGTGTCTAGTTTGATTTTCATTTTCTTTTTATACATTTAATCCCGTTATTATTCGCCTAACACTATCAGTTTCCACTGTTTTGCAACTAGTGTTGTGTAATAACCAGTTTTTCTGCCAAAAGCCTATTTGTGTCATCATCATCTGATAATAATTGCTGTTGTGCACCTAGTTTTATGTCAAGCTATTTTTGCCCTAGTTTTTTTTCAATTATCATTTTCCAACACCATAATATATTTGTGTTTACATTATCTTATATTATTAATTTAGTCTTGTTTACGATCTTTTCGTTGATATGTGCCTTTTTTCATCGTCGTTTCCCAATATCATCATCTTGTTGTGTTTACATTATCATATGTTATGAATTAAGGCTGCACGCCTCCAGATGAGCATAAATATTTCAAGAAAATAAAAATTGAGAAACTGTACTAATATTTTAAGAAAGGTAAAAACATTCAAGATTCGTGTTTTAGTTTACATGTTATTTCGATTTAAGACCGATTTTGCAGTATTTTATCAGCATATTTCTACTGCGTTACTAACGCAGTAAGGGCTGTTTTTGCATATTCTGGCCTTTTTTCGGTTACTTGCATAGATTGTAAGTGCCAAGTGAAATATGTAAAAACTTTTATTTGTTCACCTCACAATATTTTACTTTCAAATACATTTTCAAAATTTTCGTGAAAATTAACATGAATCTGGAGGCGTGCTGCTTTAAGTTTGATGAATATTTGTTTCCTTTTTATTCGGCTAGTCTTGTTTTCGTTATTAATTTTCCATTGTTATGCACTGTTGTTATACGCTTTGTTTTGATTTCATGGTCATTACGAGTACATAGACAGTTGTGTGTCTAATCATATTTTTATCATCACTTGTTTTGCATTTTTTTCATTTTCCTCCATTGCTTTGTTTCTCCAAAATCATTGCCAGGTGATGATGATGATGGTGATGATGATGACATGCGTCTTCTACTATTAATAAACTGTTGTTGCGTCGTTTTCTTTTATCTATTAATTGATTTATTGTAATGTTTGTATCTTTGTTTGTTTTAACGCTTTATGTTTGTCATGCATCAGCATTTGCTACCACGAACATTTCCTCTGTTAATCGGGATAAGGCCAGACGGTACAAACATGTTCGATAGAGACGAAGATCTAAAAAACACTTTATTTACATTATATATATACACTTTCTAAATAGAACGAACATTCAATATTAAGGAAAAGAAATATTTTAACTAAATCAGATTTACATATATAGATTGATGAGATTGGATTGCAATATTTAACACATCACCATAATGATTAGACAATAAGACCACAATTAAGCAAAAGTACGAGAGAACAATCTATCCAGAATTTCCAGAATCCCTCCTTTCCAGAATTGCCAGAATTGGAATTTCCTGGATCTCCCCTTTTCGGAATTTCCAGAAACTCCCCTTTCAACAATTTCCATAATCTCTCCTCTCAACAATTTTCAGAAACTTTCCGTTCACTTTTTTCTAGAATCTCCTCTTTTCGGAATTTCCAGACTCTCCCTTTTCCATAATTTCCAGAATCTCCCTTCTCAACAATTTCCAGAATCTTCCATTTTAACAATTCCTCACAACAATTGGCATAATTGACAAACCATTATTCATCAAATCAAGTTGGTTATAAATTTAAATATAATTGGTTATAACTTGAAATATTATGTTGATTTTAACTTGGTTATAACTTGAAATATTATGTTGATTTTAACTTGGTTATAACTTGAAATATTATGTTGATTTTAACTTGGTTATAACTTGAAATATTATGTTGATTTTAACTTGGTTATAACTTGAAATAAGTAAGTAAGTAAGTAAATAAATATTTTATTAATGTGTCATATGTAACCATACAAGCAATGAACAAACAAGACATGTATAAACAATAGTATACACCCGGCCCAATGGGCCTATAAGACACAAATAACATGAAGACAATAAATCTGAAAACACGTGAACAACATAAAAGGTATGTTTAGATAAAAAAAGAAAAAGATGAAAAAGAAATATTATGTTGGTTTTAACTTGCAATGTTTCGGAGAGAAGCTTTATAGCAAGAGAGAGACGTACGAGTGTAGAGAGACAGTGATAGGGAAAATGGAAACATTTGGATGTAAATCAAGCTTGATTTGATAGGATTACTAGTAGTTCAAATGAGAAAATAATATATAAATAACACATGGGTTTGTGGGTAACAGTAAAAATATCATCCCGAGGAAAATACTGTTACCCAAGGCGTAGCCGAGGGTAACAGTATTTTTACGAGGGATGATATTTTTACTGTTACTCACAAACCCATGTGTTATTTATTTTATTACCCCGAACAAAAAAAAATACTGAGATGTTCTGAAATTGTCAACTAAATCTAACTGTAACAAAAATAAACCAAGAGTAACAATAACTAAACTGTCCTTACCTTTTAAGTTTTAAGTGTACTTTACTGTAGGCCTACTTGAGAAGTTTTCTTTTTCTTTTATTCTTTAAGCAAGTGATGATATCTACAAATCATAAACATACAATAAGCTAGGTTTTTGTTTAGAAAACAAAACACTAACCCATTTACACGGTTATGATCTGTGAAATCTGATCCTTCTGTTTCCAGAATATTCTTAGCATGGTTTTTGACAAAATAACGATGATATCATATGTCTATCCACCATATCTGTAACGTTTCACTGATTAAATTTGTTAAATAATCCTTTTTTGCTACTTAAATTGTCTGCATGTTCCAGTTTGACACATAATTATTTACATTGCAATTACTTCCGTTGAAAACGGATGTTCACTTTTTGACTATTCAGCAAAAAGATATTTTATACGCGAAAAGCACACTAGGGTGCAAACAACTAAATTTTATGAGTGTCATAGGGACTCCAGAGGAGAAATTGATGTCCTATCGGGGTTTAAAGTTGAAAATAAGAATAAATCGAGAAAAAAATGGCGGCCATTTTATTTAGGAAATAGACCACGTGACATCTTAAAAAATACTGTTACCTATGTAACAGTACAAAATTCTTAGTCACGTGGTACACTTGCATTAACAGTAAAAATAACTCCCAGAGGCCTATGGGAAATTAGCA